AGAGAACTGTGCTTCCAAAGAGGAAAGGGCTCAATTGAATCAGAGTGTTACCATAAATAGAAAAAGACTATTGCCAAAAGGATCAAATCTGGATAAAAAGACATCAACAAAATGAAGGTCAAATGAGAACACATTACCATAAAAAGAAATCATTATTCATATGAGCATTATTTATTGCTTCAGATATTTGCATTTAAAGAACAGCCTCTACCTAAAATTCCCTTAAATGTAATAATCATAATACAATACCACTGGTGTGCTCCATAGATTTGTATTGAATAGTGGCAGGCCACACAGAAGTCATAAAGTCACATGAGTAGATCATGCTCATATTTCAATTGTTCATGGAGCCACACAGACAAGAGGCTTAAGATGTAAATCTTGGAGAACTACGAGGTCAGCGAAGCTACCTCTGCCCAAGTGTATGTTGTGCATGCAGCCTTCGCTGTGACAATCATGCAAAACGCTCGACTTTATGAGTTTAAATTTGTTTCCAGCAAAGGAATACTGACCACTCTCACATCTGTGCACTAAAGCTACGGGCCGACAGCAGTTATCTTATCTCAGCATGAAGACTTGATGAAGATGGAGGAAACCATGTCTCCGAGGAAAAACCATCCTCCTAAAAACACCAGTAAATAATTACACAACTTGTTCTGACCTAAATTGAGACAATAACTGACATTTAAAAAAACTATTGTTTGTGACCCGCAGTTTTTTCTTACTTTAATACATTTCTTAGTTTGAGATGACCACTTCCTCTTTTCTTTATTATAAGCTAAGTATTGTTATATTCATTTTCTATCAACATGAAACTATCGTTCTTCTTATTTAACTATTTTGGATATAAGCAAATTAACATATTTCCAAAATAGCTTCCTTCAATCGACTAACCTTTATTCAAGTCTTTATATTCAGCTAAACTCACCAGCTACTGACCATGGCTTCAGATTTACAGCACAGACGTGTGAGTGGTATCAACCTTCTCCTCTTACTCCTGGCAAGAACGCAAATAAGCAAATTTCTCCAAGTGTCAAACTAATCTTTTAAAAAAGTGGTCTCCATTGAGAGATTGATATCAATACTTGATCTTACACTTTGGCCTGAAACCCTAAATGTAGCAACCTTTCCATTGTTTACAATGATAAACATTTAAAATTCAACAACCTTGTCATTGGGACTGTTTGTCTCTGATAAGCCTGATAACCTGATCAGCTCAGGTCAATCTCTTAACCACATAAGTTCATTATGACAAAAAAAATGTATCCTGCTCAGAGCATCCAAATGTGTATCAAGAATATTTGCAAGTTGTCATAAAAGCGTATAGAAACAAACTTATCTATAAAAGAAAATATTTAAAAAAGCATCATAAATTCTGTCAAAATTGCTAAAGCTTAAGCTATTCTGTTCTTCTTTTTTTTTCAACATCCAGTCAATGAAGCATTAGACTAGAGTAACACTGTGTTGCTGTATATGCATAACATTGAAGCTAACCTTACTGGCTAAGTGATGCTTTTCTAAAAGCAGAGCATATATACAAATACATGTTTCTTCAACTACGACCATACGTACATACATGATTTCATAACATGGAAACATAAGCTGCCACTATATCTTTAGCTTGAAATCTGTCCCTGTGTAATTTCTACATAAGCAGAAAAATTATATTAATGGAAAACTAGCCATTCTAGATTCAGAGAAGTAGCAAAAGGTGAGCAAAAAGCATCTGTACTGTATCATGACAAGTATAATGAAAGTTTCAAACTTCAGAAAAATGAATTGCAGGAGATTTCAGTGCATTCATAATGAGTTATCACACTCTGAAGGCAACACATTTAGCATGGCTATTCAACTGCTTTTAACAAGGAGGCAAAGTTCCATGTGCCTGGGTCCAGCCTTGCATACCTGGACCTCCAGCCCATTTGTACAAAGTAAGAGTTACAAAGATAAAAGCCGGTTTTGAGTAATAACAGTAAAAATTTTGTTTTTGCATAGCATTTGGCCTTGTTTTACCATCATCTACTGTAGAATCAAGGAAAAAATAGTATGCCAAATGCTTAACTTAAAAATAAATCAGAATGTGGCAGAACCTAAATCTGTGACTGAGTTCTAAAATGAGATGAACTAAACTTTGTGAGGAAAAGTTGATAATCCTATATGTACAAACCTAAGGCAAACATGGCAACCTTTTCCTGAAGCAACAGACATGCAATGTAACCCAATGACCTAAGAAAACACAACTATGATACAAGGACTAAGTGCTTAGCATCGCAGAGCTCACACAGCCCCTTTGATCACTGGTTCTCTATTGAGGTACGTGGCCCAGTACACCAGGTTGAAAGTCCCAAACAGGACTGGGAACACTATCCTGGACATCTTGTCAATCTTGCTCACACTGTTGTAAGTCTTTTTGGGGTCTGGGGCCTTGGTTTCAGAGGGTTTGAGCTGAACAGCTGTGCTATTTGAAATGGTGGAGATAGATGTGTCCTTTGTAAGGTTGGTAGTATAATTCACACCAGCTGAGCATGTGTTGTTTGGCTTTTTAGACAGAGCCAAAGGGTCTTTTTTCTGCAGAGGAGAAAAATACAACGATTTAGCTTAAGTACACACAACTGAGAAAAACCAGTGCTGCACATTCAATGAAATTGAATTAATAACATTGGCACACACACGAAAAACACAAAGATAACAATAAGAGATGGCAAGTGAAAGGTGTTTGAAAGGCAGGATCAATGTGCTCGGGCAATAATGAACTGGCACTCTGCCATAACACTGGCACACTCAGCAGTGAATGTATTGATCCAGAAGAACTACATCTTGCCCAATTTATCTCTTACTTTACTTTTTAATTCCCCCTCCTGTCGTCGCTTCCCACCACTCTTTAACTTTAAAGGAATAACAGAGTAGATGTGATAAGTGTGGTTCTGCTATTAAAAGAGCCTTTTGCTGTGTCATTAGTTGATTGTGTTACAATAGTGTCGGAAATAAAAGTGTTAGTTTCTAGATTGATCAGTACAGATTCTAGTAATATGTATGTTTTGTAACAGCAAATTCAGAGGATTCAAGAGTTTTATTATGTGTGATCGTGCACATGGCTGCTTGTGTGAATTTGTGTGTCGCTGACTATTGATGTGACTGAGCTGTAAATCACCAATATAATGATGTTCCTGGTTGTAGATGTAAATGTGCGACACTGGACCTTAGCCCTCGAAGAGAGTTCCCTCTCTTGTTATTGTGCCAAGGGTTTCTTCAGTTTTTTTCAAATTCAAGCTGCACTGATCAATATTGCATTTGCTTGTATGAACCCACTCAAACTTTTCACCAAACACTCAGCTTATGGGAGCTGTTTAGCTTGTTTTGGCTCATTGTTTTGTAGTTTTACAGCCTGCAACTTTAATGTTCTGTTTCTACACTCTCATCAACCTCATTTCAGCTCCACCATGCAGCTGTTTTCAATGAAGAACCTTTCCATTCCTCCAACCAACCAACCACTAAACAGTATTGCTTATCCTTTGAGAGTAGCAGGGTTGGAGAGGCGGGTACACTATAGACAGGTCCCCAGTCTATCGCAGGGCTTACATATAGAGACAAACAACCATTCAAGCTCTTCAGGCAATTAAGGGTCTTCAGGTAACTTAACCTGCATGTCTATAGATGGTGTGAGGAAGCTGTAGTACCTGGAGAAAACCCATGCAGGCACATGCACACCAAAACAGACGCCACACAGCTAGGCCCTGGCCCACAGGCCTGACAGTGCCAAGCATTGCACCGTGAAAAACTCTGATAAACCCAAAAAAAGGTACTTGCCATGTTCCATAATGCAAAAGAACAAAGTGTGTTAACAACTAGTGAACAGAGTGAAGCATTTAGCAGCAACTTTACTTTATGCTCTAGTAAACCAACTGTACAATAACTGCAGTACATAGTTAGCGACTAGCTGTGGAACATGGAGCCTTTAAAATAATTGTATTTCTTCTGGAGGTGGTGGAAACAAAACTGAGCTAAAAGGAGAGTGAGTACTGAATTTACATTTATCAGATTGCCAGGAATTTTTACTCAACTTTTACTGAAGGTGTAAATAAAATTGCTAAATATTTGTTGTATTATATTAGAAACAATACAAATACAAGAGGACACTAACTCTGAAACTTGCATGTATCATATTTTTAGGACTATAACAAGTAGTGTCTTCTGACTTCCGGTGACTGCAGTCCCACTAACACATTAACAAGCAAGTACATTGTCTTTGGCATCATCTCCAAAAACCTAATACCAGCCTACGCCAACCCTGCCCACACACACTGACACACACACACATAGACACTCCTGTAGAAAATACCTTGGGTTGTTGGGCCTCCATTGCCTTTTTTCCATCCCAGGCCCAGCTCCTCTTGGTGAAGTAGTTGACTGTTGCAAATTCAATGAGGGCAGAGAAGACAAAGGCATAGCAGACAGCGATGAACCAGTCCATGGCAGTAGCATAAGCCACTTTAGGCAGCGAGTTTCGAGCACTGATGCTGAGAGTTGTCATGGTGAGCACTGTGGTCACACCTGGTGGGGAAGAAAACTGGGTCAGTTTTTCTAACTAGACTTCCAACAGATTAAATTATAGTAGAGCACATTTCACTCCATTGTAGACGGATCATAAAATGTCAGGCAATGCATGTTTTGCATCTTGATTCAATTCTACTTTCATAAAATGTTAGATATGAGATTTAAAAGATTTAATAATTCAACCAGATGCTATAATCTTTGTAAAGATATAGCTCTGGGTGCTCATTCCTCTGCATGTGAGTCTTTACTTGTGAAACCATGGGCCCTCCCAGTTTTTATATAGCAAGATAGCTCCAGGACTGATTTCATGTTAACATGACGCACAGGTGGAAATACTAACATCTCTTTTTCTGTGCTGTGACATCTTCTGGATGCACAAATACTGTAAACACACCTGTCACCTGTACTTTGACATGGTCAATATCCCTTTCACTAAAATGGAGAAGGTGGGATTTATGACCTGTACTGTAACCAGTCAACAAATGGCGATCAAGTCATAGAGTCCCAAAATAAGTTTTAAAAACACACATTTAGTGATCTGGGTGTGTCACAGAGGCTCAGACACTGACAGGAGCACTAACACGCAGATAGATGATATACTCAACGGATCAATTTTCAACTTCATTCAGCTGTACTTGTGTGTTTTGCTGTTGTTTTCACTGAGATTCATAATCCCATAGAATTTATAGGGAACACTTAAATGACTGACACAAAGGGAGAGAGAAGGTGTTGCAGTTGAATCATTGGTTTTAGTTGGAGATGCTCATGGTAGTGAGGTAGTGAATATAAAGTTACACATTTGAATAATGTGTCTGTGGTTTACAAACTCACCAAAGACAGTCCGTGCTGGAACAGACTCCCTGTTGAGCCAAAAGGAAACCTGGGACAAGATGACGGTCATGAAGCAAGGCATGTAGGTCTGGATGACAAAGTAACCGATCTTCCTCTTCAGGTAAAAGTGAGCCATCATCACAGTGTATTGACCTGCAGAAAACAGCAGTGTGTGTGTGCCTTTTACTTTTCTGACATAGTCATTCTAATTCTGAATTTCAACAAAAATAGCAGGTAGTAAAACTGGAGGAAATAATTATATTTTAAAATCCTGTTACATCTGGAAACTGCTATGCCATAGCTGATGGAATACTGATACAGTTGTTTTACTCAGTTCTTTCACAAAGTCAGTTCCTGGACAGTTGACGTTTCTCGCTTCCTCCTACACACAAGACTTTTGAACTGTTACTGTGCTAAATCCCAAGATGAACTGATTTTTTCTCATAGCAATTGTATTGAAATCTATACATTCTATCTATAAACCACACACCTCCACCTCCACCATGCCTCCACCTGAACCAGCAAACACTGAGTTCTTACTAGAGCGGCCATGCATCATCCTGTGAACATCATCATTAAAGTGGACTAATGTATATGCTAATTAGCAGATAAACCTTTTTGACATGTTAAAGTAGGAGCGGTTCAACAGTAAATAATGTATTGAATTACTTTTGTGATTGTTCTACTATGAAATGTCAAACTGTCTCCTGAAAAAGGCCTACTGCGCTTCTACAACATTTTCTTACACTAACAAAACAATGTTTAGCAAAATACTGGATTTTGTCCTCCCCTTGTTTTGTTTACTAAATTTTTTAAAGAGGGTTCCTCTCTTTTTCAAACAATGTGGCTTGAGTTTGTTATTAAAAATCTGTTTTTGAGATGTGTTTTCATCTATTTCAGTCAGCGGCTGCATAGTAGCAGATTGTATCTGTGATTAATGGCTCTACAAATAAACTTTACTTGACAACCTCCAGTGAGCAAAATGTTTGAATAACAGGTTGCTGGAGAAATCATCATATCCTGTTAACCAACCGAAGATTGCATTTGAAGGATTTTTTTTCTCAAAAATCCTGTCGAGCCATGGAGTCTGATAAACTATAGAAAATCCACAGATGACTGCTGCTTTCTCCTGGCAAAATCGGATTTTTCTGTCTCACTAATCCCTTGTCACAATCTGCATCCTGTATATCTCTCTCGCTCTCTCTCGGCCTCCCTCTGTCTCTGCCTCACTCTCTTTCTATGCGTGTGAGTGTGTGTGTACGTGTGTGTGCGCTTCAGACAGTCCATCCCATTCTGTCAGGCCAGGCCACACTTGATTGGGGACATACATCCTTGCCTTGCCTGAGCTCGAGCACCAAAACAGACCTGGATAAGCGGTGATTACAAGCAGATGCACAGATGACTGAAGCGGAGGGGGGTTGAGAGGGACCGGAGGAAAAGTTTGGATGGTCTGTGCGATGCGACGACAAGCACCATGTCCTTAATGAAAAGGACACCTGTGTCGCCTTTGCTCCGAGGACTACTATCCAGCAGCCCTGCACTGTGGTGGCACGACTGGGCAAACCCCACTCTGATCTGACCGCCTGCTGGGCTTCAAAGTGGATGGAAATCTCCGAGGCGTGAAAAAATGCGGTTGTGGATTATTTTACTGCTCGGTTTTGGGAGTGCCTGTGGGGAACTGCCATTCATAGCAGAGAACAATGCGGCGATGTTGGTCAACTGGTGAGTACAGATCGAAACCATCTGTTGAGCTTTGCCGCTTTCTATTTTGATCTGAAAGCGCTGATGTGTGTAATGTAATGAAATTACAAGGTTTGCCTATCATCAATTCAATTCCTGTGTCTGTATTTTCATCCGCTTTGGCTTAACCTGTGGGGTCAAAGGTCACCCCCGCCCACTGTGAGCACTTTGAGGAGCTATTCTTGGCTTGTTAAAGAGGGTTTGTACCTCAGATTAGCAATGCTAATTAAGGTCGTGCAGGCTCTGTGTGTCTTCCCTCTTTAACTGGTCTGAACTCTGATGTGTAGGGAGAGAGTTAGCAACCTGTGTGCTAATCTGAAGTCGTTAAGCGTTTTGAGTCGGGTGTTTCACCAGCATGAGCTCAGTATTCTCCCGCTGCGTAGAAATACTTAACACTTAATGTTACATTATCCACTGTCAACGCCATCTTCCTCAGGCAGGATAAAGCATTCTATACACTATAAAAATCAGCTATATGAAAGCCTCCCATGTAATAAAGTCATTCCCAACAAGCAGCAGAAATGTATCATACTTCTTTACATAAGAGAATTAAGCAGATGCCGCTTGCCCCTCCCTCCTGCCCATGTCTCCGCCGGAGCAGCCACTCCCTGAGCTGTGACGTCACTCAGTAAAAGCACAACTGATGGGCCTGCGTACGGATTAACCCTACAGACCCAATGGCTCAGACCATGGATAAGTGATTTTTTTTTTTTGCCCACCCCCCCAGCAACTATCCTCTCTTGGCAGCCCCAGAGACAGCTGGCTATGTGTGGGAGGCATTCTGAAATCCTTGTGATTCATTCATTGTCTCTATCCTGCTTGATTTGAAAACATTTTCTTCTCACAACATCTTTGGTTGGCACAGGCCGTAATAACACAGAGCTGAAAAATGGGGTGGAAGCAGGGGCTTAAAATCCCTGCAGCTGCCTGAAGCCGCAGTTTGTGACTGGTGTTGAACAGGAGAGGATGTTTGGGACAACACAACATAAAAGCTTAGAGAAGAAAATAGCTGTGTATGACACTGAGGGATAAATCATCCGTAATCTGAGGCCTGGTCATCTACAGTCAGTCTTGCTTCACTGTACCTCGGCTGGTGTAGATGTCCTCCGTCCCCGCAGTCTGACCAATCAGATGGTACTGATTGAGCCGAGAGCCTTCCTCTGCCACCACCACTGATTTGGCTGCTCCCTGTGTCCATGTGTAGACCACCTCTGAGACTGGATAAGCATCTGACAAAACAACACAGACAGATTAACACAAATTAGAAAATCTCATATTTATCAAAAGCCTGCTGTCAAAAATGTGTTTACATTTTAATTTGAGTCTCTTAATTTAGCTTTTGATATGAGGGGATAAGGGTGGCACAGGGGTACGGTGGTTAGCACTGTTGCTCTTGATTCAAATCCCAGTTTGTTTGGGGTCTTTCAGTGTGGAGTTGACATGTTTTCCCCGTGACTGCGTAGGTTTTCTCCGGTTACTCCACCTTCCTCCTAGTCTAAAGACATGCAGACTGGGGAAAGGTGTACTGGTAAATTGTCTGTAGGTGTGAATGTGAGTGTGAATGGTTTGTCTCTGTATGCTGGCCCTGTGATTTGCAGTCCATGGTGTACCCCACCTTTCACCCAATGTCAGCTGGGATTGGCTCCTACTCCCCCGAGACACTCAAAGGATAAGTGGTCTCGATAATGGATGTATGTATGTTAAAGCGCTGCAGATTAATACATCTTCATTAATACCCATGGGACCCAACAGCTGACCTATGGCTAGACAGTGAGTTTAACAAGGAGAGAATGACAGTGAGGAAAGAGGGAAAACAAGAAAGTATAGAAAGGATAAATTAAGTAAATGCTGATTTGAAAAATGATGAGGGACGCACCAATCTCCATTTTTTCTAAAAAAACAAAAAAACAATTTATTAATAATGAAAATAATCTTCATATTGATCATGATAAACTATGATGTTTATGTTTATCATTGTGTGGACGTGATCGATGGCTCTGATGTTATGAAAGGAACACAAGGCTGTACAGTAGATATTACAAATTAACTATAAGATGTTCATATATCATTGTTTTTTGTGGCTCTGTGCATAGGAATTATATTGTTGTAATATATGAGTATGGACCTTAAATGTCAAAAATATAAACATAAAGCCCTCTGATTTAGCTATACTGCAGAATACAGTCAGAAGCTCAGGTAATAGTAAATAAAGTTGGCTTTAGAATGATTCATTCTTTCAGCAGATTCATAAAATGATGCAGCTCGTCTTGCCCGGTCTGTTTCACTTAGAGACTGATCCAGTGTAAATTGAATACCTGCATCATTATTGGGTCACATACTGAAATATGAACCATGAATAACAACTGAAATCAACTGTGCCTCACAGATAGGAGCAACATGGGTGGCAGCGGTTGGAGTAATAGCTTGTTATTTCAACTCCAGGTACTGTATATCACCTCTACAGAAAAAGGTCTGAGACCACTTCCCACAGTGTGTCAAAGTGCTCTTTAGCAATACCCTGAAGTACATGTAGCTTCTGATGTATTTTTGAAAAAATAATGAATCTTTGTAAAAACAAAAAGACACACTGACTATATGCACGCACACAAGTTTAGACAGCAGTGGCTAAAAGTAGGAAAATCCAAGTTAATGCCCTCAAGCCTCGGTGCATGTTCAGTTTATTGTGTTCATGTTCGCTGTGAGCTTTTGTTGTTGCTTCCTCTCAGGAATAGATGAGTTTGACAAAAGACATGTTATGTGAACTAAATTACGAGCGGTTACATTTAAAGTCATGTTAGTTCACAGGTGCGGGCTCCACCTCTACACTCCAGCAGATAAACACTCATAGTTTTATTTCTGCGTAAAAATAAACCTCCCACATATATTGGGCTCATTATCCATATCCACACCAAGCGTCACCTGTTGATAGATGTTAGCACTTTACACACTTATTCTAAGAAAGAAGCACTCTCTCACAATGCTAAAGAAAGTGAAAACAACTTGCATCAAATCCTCGATGGCTGTGTCTGACGTCTCTTCCTAAATACTATATGATGTCCCTGTTTTGTAGTGCTGTCTGAATGTATAGTGACATTTTTATACCTATACAGTGGACTCAGTGCATCATGCGAGCAATATATACCATCATGCATTGCGCTTGTGGAGTTGTCAGAGAAAAAATGGCGTACAAATGAGAGCATAGAGGGCAGCATGTCTCAGCCTCTTCTCTCTGGCGATTATACTTTCTTATTCTTATCAGAAAAAACTGAATGACTGTGAGGACAACTTTATTCTTTTAGAATTAATTTGGTCTTATTCTGTTCCAGCACTGTATATTGAGGTGTTTTAAACCCCTTTCCCAGTAATTACTAATTGTCCAGCAGGATAAAAACTTTTTCTTACATTTTTCCCCAAACATATTCTAAATCATTTCCACTTTGGTGATATTCTATTCTCCATCTTCTCAGATGTTGCTATCTAAAAGATGTGGTATGGCTGTGATACAACACTTGACCTTTCACCCACTTTGCTTCATTACACAGAGATTAACTTGTAGTCACTGTTAAGAGCTGGTGTTTGGATCTGATGTAATCACAATTCGCAGATGTTACTAATGGTTTGATCTTATGTGTGAAGGTTGGCACATTCTGACGGATTCTAGGTTTGCTCACAGAGTCATGAGGACATTTTTTTAGATGAGTTGCTGGTACACCGGCAGTACAAAGAGCTCCCGCTTTAATATACAGACACATTTCAAATACACTCTGAATAAAAACATTTATTCATTCACGTTCATTCTGAAGTCCAGCAAGCGCTGCAAAATGCCAAAACCGCCCCACTTGCTCACAGTGTCGTACAGACTGCACACGCTGTACTGTTGCTGCACTAAATCTGTGTCTCACTCAGTTGTACTGCACTGCAGTGTCCAATCTAACAGTATTGCCTTAATCCAGCAACTGTGGTGTTAGAAGACTTCACAGCAATTTAGATTGACCCCAGCCAACCAGTCTGTGGATTATCGTCTCAAAGACACTCCGCATTGTCTCTAACACGTCTTTGTACAAGTGACTAAGATGAGCAGCTGAATTTATTTATTTTTCTTATATGCAGTTTGAGTGAGCAAATTACAATTATTGTGACATATAATTAAAATATAAATATACATCAAAATATATCACCACCAAACCCCCAAATGATTTTGTGCACAGCTGTAGCTGGAGCTCAACCTCATGCCTACATGTTGTGTATGGAAGCAAAAAATATGCATTATGTATTAAACTAGCCATTTTTGTCTTTAAAAGTAACAACAAAGAATGAAGGTTCCAAAGTTTGGTTGTGATGTTGCTGCATTCTGAAGAAGTTGTTTTTGATATCACGTTTATTTATCCACGTTATCCCTGAGAATACGATTTTTTGCAGTAGTGACGTGAGTGATGACAATCAAGGAAAGAACATTAATATTGATGAGTCATTTCAATACCTTATAGAGTTCAAACTGAATTGCCAAACAACTGTCTGTATAGTTGCCCAATATTATTTATCCTAGTCTCCAGGAATCCACTGCTTCTATCCAAGAATCAGTCCCGCAGATGAACACCCATAGTGTAATTCTCTTACAGTTTTCATACAGATTAGACAAATGACCTGTAGCATGTTGATCTGTGAGCTTGAGATGTGCTGGTAGGTGGATTAGTTCCCTTTAGACTGAGACTGAGCCCTTTGTTAATGTGACACAAACACTGTGGCTTGAACTGACCCCAAAAAAACATCTTTTCATCAAATCAGCAACAGGAGCAGGTCAGGCTACTGGAAGCAGCTGCACTCAAATAATACAAATTAAAAACTTGACATGCTATGGCAGACCCTCCACAGCAAGAGGAACAACTAGAGATACAGCCCTTCCATATTATTTTTTAGGTTTAGCATTCACAATAAACAACGCTGCTCCAGGTTACTAGTAATAATGTTACAGAAACACCTGACGGACTAAGCTGCTCCCTGATCTACCCATTTAAACATCAAGGCTTACTGTCACACTTTCTACAGAAAAGATGCCTCACTGTTTTCATAGCCACAATTTCCTTTCCTATTTTCCTATTTCATGTTCACTTCCACTGGATTCGTCTGTATTTCTCAGTTAGCCTGGTCATTGCCTTGGTTTTTGAGGAGCACTGATGACAGAGGTGTATTTGTTTGGCTGTGAAGTTCTAACATCAACAGAGTTGCTTATTCATCAGGCACGAACATGAATAAGCATGTTATCTAAAATGTTGAACTATTCCTTTAATACAGTAGCTCCATTGGACGTATGTAAATTAAAGTAGATTTAAAAGCACATAAACACAAAATTAAATCAAAGTTTCACAGGAAACTACATCAGGCTGTCAATGAAAATGGGCTCATTTGTCTCTTTCATGTCAGAATGTTTAGCGGAGGAGAACAGTCTTTCAGTCTTTTTCTAGAAAAACATTGTAGCAGAACAATTAACTGGAAAAAAAAAAGAGTTGGGTCTATGGAAGAACTGACGATAACAACAATCGTTACAGTTCATCTTGAAACAAGCCTCTCGTGCCTGTTTCAGTGTTGGTATGAGCACCTGTGTAATGTTCACAGGATGAAATGAAAGAAACTGTCCTTTAGCCAGGTCCAGTGCTTTGTTCAGAAACAGCATCACTTCTACTAGAAATGTGAAAGTGTCAGACATACAGACTCACCCACACACACAATCTCTTTGATACATGCCAGATGTGTAATACACTTCATTTACTTCTATTCACTGTACTTACTAAGTACAATTAATGTATGAATGTAGAAGTTTCTGCTTTCAGAAATTAAATCATTGTAAAGCATTAAGGACACACAGTAAATCACATGAAACAATTATTAAGTGCAGGTGACGAAAAACAACACTACAAGCAAACATTTCTAACTCACATTCTGTTTGTTCTGAAGTTAAGCAGTGGGGGGGAGCATGTCTACATGAGCTATACATGAGGGAAGATGCGGTTTCATTCGGCCCAATTTTGTTGCAACTTGATAAAAGGAATTCTGATAAAGTTATCTGTCAATGTTTATTTCCACAATAGTTTATATAATTGGTATATAACAATAAGCCAAATCAGTTCAGCATTGTCGGACATGTTGCGTTTGATCTCACTGACAATGACATTACTGTGGCGAGTCTGGGCATTGAAGTTTGCAGTAGAGGCACAGCAGCTTCAGTTAACAGATTCATAAATTTGAAAACAGGCCATGCAGTCACATCTCTTAGAACTGATTCTCAATTCATATGGTTGAATTGCTAAACCTCCTATTAAGCAGGATGGTGAAGCAAGTGAAATGCAGGTTAATCCTTTTTTACAGTAACCACCAAAGTAATGTTTTAACCACACTTGCAGTGTAATCCACATCTCTATTATCTATCAGTTTGATTATTATTTTAAGTAATAATATTCCATAGTGAAACGTGTCTGTCTCAGGCCTCATATACAGCTCACATATAAGCAGCTGCATGTGTTGCTCGGTGTGAGTCCACCTCCAGTGTCTGAAAGTGTTGAACATCTGTTCTTCCCAATGTTAGCTTGTACCAACTCAAACTTTGATTTAAAATCAGGACGTCAGACTTTACATGACACCTGTGCTGTACACAGGAAATACTGCATGTTGTTCCACTGACATTCAGGGGCGGTCCCTGATTTGAAATGCCTTGTGGTTAAATGCAATAATTCTGACAGAAAATATCCTGTATCAATGAGGGTGCATAGTTAGCATG